GTATCTCAAATACGTATTCGTATTCAGAGTTTTATACACGATTCATATGATTAAGGATTCATTTTATAGTGAGATTAAAGGTAAATAAATTAATTACTTTTGTTTCTATTTATATGTAGTTTTTATGATTTTTATTTAATTTTTTAGTCATAAGTACTCCCTTAAATGGACAAGAAGAACCGGAATCTGTTACAGCAGATAAAATATATGCAGAGATCCATATTTCAAAAAAATTGGAAACGCATTTTCTTAAAATAGATACCAATGCGGAAAGACGCTTAAAATTCCAAAAAGAGCTGAGATCATGCGTGTCTCAATATCGTAACGTTTACAAGCAATTGACCAGTCGACCGTCGTCACAAAAACTGATCACTGACATTATGGTACCAAAAAACAAGTCAATTGAAATCCTATCTTCAAGCGACGAAAGCGATTTTCAACCAATTCATCACAAGAAGATGCGCGTTTTGGATTACGACGAATAGCAGCAAGCTATTTAATGTATAATTTGAAAACTTCTCCATGTATATGTACAATGAAGAATTTAAATATTTTTACAATTTCTTTAGGTCTAATTTAATTATTTAATTTAATTAAAAGCATTCTCTCATCTATTTCATGAATCATTGATGTATTTTCTGAGTCCGACTTTTTTTATGCGGTCCCTATTCACCGCATAAAAAAATGTTAGGTTGTACATCGTACAAAGTTGTTATTATATGTAAGAATTTATAAAATTTTCGAATATTTTTTTGTACGATTTCTTTTATGCGGTCCCTATCCACCGCACAAAAAAAGGTTTTACTGCACATTGATGCAATGCAAAACAAATAACCATTCAACAATTGTAATACACACGCATGATCGTGCGTAACACTCGCTGTACTCGAAAGGTATGAAATTGCCACAAGAAATGATGAACTGCCTTATTTCAAGTATGAAATTACGCTGCATTGCCTGTATATCTGCAAGAGGGGACCAAACACCCAAACATTTTGTTTGTTTATTCTGCAACCGCTGTTTCATACCTTCCTACTCCAACGAGTGTTACACACGATCTTGCGTGTGTATTACAATTGTGGAACGGTTATTTGTCTTGTATTGTATCAATGTATGTACATATCAAATTTCATTAAAATCGGTCCTGTAGTTCTAGAGATAATCGACCAAGTCTGCAAATTCTTTTTATTTCTTGCACCAATGTAGTAAAAGATGATCAGTTAATAATATTATTATTTGCCTTAATGGAACCCTGAATAAACCGAAATTAATTTCTGAATAAATAAATATATAGTGCTGATTTTTCACACTTTATCGGCTCGCAATTTTAATTAGGGTAACATATACTGTACCATAGTAAAGTTTTTAATAAATTTCACGAATCATTTTGAATCATAAAAGTCAGGGTTTTCAGTCCAAGACTTCGATGGTTATTTTTTACAAAGGTTTTTTTTACTATTTAGAATAAAATTGTAATGAAAGTGTTTTATTATAATAAAAGCATTTGAAAAGTATGTTACAGAATGCAAAATTTAGAAAATTTTAAATTAGTCGGATTTTGTTTGAGCGTAGCAAACGATGTTGTTATATACCGATTTAAATGAAACATAAAAATAACGCTTAGGAATTTTAAGAAAATTATATTTTTTTTCAGGATTGAACAAATGCTTTACGGGCCGAAGGACAGAATTTATTGAGAGCCCTTTCCTCAAAGCACAAAAAGCCTTATTTTTATAATTTGTAGAATTTTTGTAGACCCTTTATACAAAAATGTAGTTTTTATTCCACAGTTTAATTACAATTTTCTTTTAAAAACTAATTAATAAACATGGCATTTTTAATAAGAAATTTTGCTGGGACCCACGACAGTCCCGGGACAATTGTCCCCCCCCCCCCCTAGAGTACGACTTTTTATGAATATGTGTTGTTAAAAAAATGGATATGCCTATAATTTTTCGTCCTCGAGAAAGCTTTACTTCCTTTAAATTTCTTTCTTCAGAACACGCTGATATTTTTAAAGAGGATTGTAATACATAGAATTGTAATACTGATTGTCATACTTGGAATGCATATTACAATCAGGTGCCGAGATGAGAAATCACTGTGTCCTTCTAAACATTTTCACTGTTTGGAAAAATGTGTCGGGCATAAGAGAAATAGTTGAAATTATGAGTAATAGAACAACAGTACTAGCTTCGGTTTCACTAAATTTGCAATGCTTCTTTATTTATTAATTTAAAATTGCGTGTAATTGATCAAAACTATTTATCACCATCTCACTGAATTCGCATGATTTTTTTTATGAATGTTAAATTTTGAACTATGTTTCATTGAACAAAAGTATTAACAACTATTTCCCTGAACTTTCTCTTATTTTTATAAATTTCATATTATGTGTAATTAAATTTCAATATTTTTTGTTAAACATCCTTCCCGTACTCCTCATATACTTTTATTGCTTATCCACATCATAATCAAAAATAATGATGCAATAATTTGTTTGCATTTTGATAGGTTGGAAAAAAATATTTCAGCATTTGAAACTTCATAGTTAAATCTTGATATATCTGAACTAAATTTTTATATTCCTTAAATTTTAAATTATTAATGTAATTATAAAAAATCATCGCATTTCATATGTAATGAAGATGACTCAAAATTTGCAATGAAACGCTTCTTCCTAGGCCCTCTTAAATCACCAGATAATTAACACTTGATTTATCTAATAATATTACCTTATTAAAAAAAATATTTTAGGGGAAAATTAAGCCAATGAGAAATACTTTTTTCCTATTATTAATGAGGTAAGTGAATAAAATAGTTATTATTTCTTTTATATATCTTTTATAATAGCTTAAATTATTTCAATTAGTCTCACACTATTGGTTACTTACACAAATTTACAAATTTCAGTATACAAATCATTGTAAAACATTCAAATAGCTGTTACTACCAAATAACTATAAAGATCTTGATTTAAAAGTTTCCGCAAAATAATAATAATAATAGATACATGAGAACGACTATAGATGCATCTGTCGTCTATCTCATCTATAGTGATGAATGACATGACATGAAATTATCTAAAAATAAATATTATATCTTTTCCATAAGTTTACTGTGTGGGATATATATTTAAACAATATGTCTCTCCCTTCAATAAATCTTTTTCTATCTGACATTGCTGTTCGATTGAAAATTTAAAAAAGCACTCTTACTGTTATGTCATCTGTTAGTATGTAAAAAAATTGTTTTCCTCTTTAGAAAATACCATTATATCAAGTTCAAAATAATGAATGTATACAATAAAGTAAAACATACTTTTAGTTTGAAAAACACATATTTCTATAAAATATAGTAGTTTCAAAGTGCGTGCATTTTTCTTGAATTTTAAATTCTAATGTCTATAATATACATATCAATAATCGAAAACCAACAATAATGTTCATTACTTTTATATCATCTCTCGCAAAAGGCACTTACTTAGTATCTTAAAAAAATGTGTTAAAATAATTACGTAGCTATATTTTTGAAAAAGCTATTTAATAGAGAAAAAACAATTACGTTAAATGTAGATAAATATCTACAAAAAAAGATGAATATGATACACGAAAATATACTTTTGGCTAAAACACTTATTTTTCAATAAAATTTATATTTTCAAAACGTTTACAATTTACTTTTGTTCAATAGACACCTTCACAACAATGCAATACATTTATGTTATGTCCTCACTTGTAAGTTACATACACCTTAAAAAAGTTGTTGAAATATTAATGTAGTGATATATTTTTATAAATACCATTTTTTTTTGTAAAATAAGCAAATATGTAAATAAAAAGAACAATTAACTAAAAATATTTGAAGTTAGAAACAGATTCTTTGAATATATCTAACATGAGAAATTTAATAATATAGCATATTTTTCTAAATATATCAGTACATATATAAATGGGTTACAAAATAATACTAACACTATGCAAACGATCTCTCGTTTGGCAGCATATATTTTATAAGACTTTATGTAGCAAAACTGTGTTGGCACAATCTGAAAGATCATGCTTGAAGTTTTTAAAAATGGTGTCTTTCTAACCATGCAAAATTTGCATCAACCGAAATGAGCGTATGAAGTTCTTTTTCTTTTACTACCACTATAAATTCAAAAACATTCTTATATGAATATCACATTCCTATAGAATGATTTCCAAATTGCTGCTATTAAAGCTAGAAAGAAGCTATTAACACTTCTTTATTTTGGTCAATCCGAATTTTGCAATGGCAAAAGTGTCACCTTTTTTAAAAGCTGTAAGCATGATCTTTTAAATTGAGCCAACAGTTTTGCCATGTAAAATCTTACAAAAGGATTGTTTACATAGAGTTGTTACAGAAGTGCTCGTATTATTTTGTCATCTATCTGTATATAGACAATAGTTTGTCATCTATCTGTATTATCAAATATAGACATATTTATCAAAGTTTAAATATCTTATCTAAAATGATGAATGACGCGACAATAGCTGATACATAATATATTTATCCCATGAGGTTAATATGGCAGATACTGCATTATGGGATTGTTATATGGTTCCCACCTATAGTGACAGACCTACTATACAGTGCTATATATTACGGATAAACTATCCCTTGTAAAGTGTTCAGTTCTAAGTTAGTAATTAGCGCGATTTTCTTTAAAGGCCATTATTTTAAAAAATAAAATAATATGGATAAAATAAATAAACTTGCAAAAATAACTGAAAGAAAACTTAGTTTGAAGGCCATAATTTGCTAATAAGTTTAATAATTTCAAAATTTTTTCTTTTCATTTGAAATACATGGAATAGATCGCAACAGGCAAAATAGGAGATGAGAAGAGGTCGACAAGGACACAAATTCGATCGATAGCATCGATCTTTTACGAAAAATTGAAAGGATAAACAGAGCACCAAACCACAGGTGGTCGGGCCTAAAATTTATTGAATGAAGAAAGAAAGTTAACTTACATAAAGAGTTATATCTTCGGATAATGTTCTCCAAAAAAGTATTTTGTGGTGCGACGAGACCCCTGCGTCCACCGGGCATCTTGACATCCCGACCAAATCTTTGTTAGGGGAAACCCTTCCCCACTACCACCTGTTAGGTCCTGACCAAAAATAGTTTTGCTATATACCAAATAAGTTTGAGAACTAGTCTTTCCTTGCGAACATATTCGACTGTGTAGTGTCCTTTATTCTTTCTAATATTGATTGGGATTTGGCGTGTTTGGAGATCATTCGCCAGAACATCCACTTTCCCGGCTCAGGATTCGCCAAATTTGGCTTCTTACGAATCTCGGGAAAATTGCAGAGATTTTAAATGGTAGTTCATTTATTTGAAAAAAAGATTTTTTGAGAAAATTCTCATGTGTTTGGGTAAATGCTTTAAAGGAAGAAAAAAAAAGACATTAGTTTTCGCTGGTTTGAAAATAAATGAACTGAATGCGAGGAAACCATAACTTGGAATAAATAAATAAAGACAGTTTGCTATTTGGGAGAAATTTTCGATTATATTTGAATCGAAAGTCTACAATAAATTCCATACTTTTTATTTATTACTTATGTCATGATTAATGAGAAAACTAGACAAAAATAATGAATAAGTTACGTATTGACAGCATTGTTGCGCTACTGATAAACATTATATGTGTTTTTACTAGCTACGTATAAAAGGTTAAAAGCGCATTGGATAATTAATGCAGCGAAAGTAGCTACTTCAAACCGGTGGAAAGTTATTAATTTGTATATTAGACCTGAAAATTTAAATTTTTAGTTAGTAGCCAGTGGCCGGTAGACTCGAATAACTTAGTAGCCACTTTTTCCTCAAATCTAATGAATCGGTGACTGATATTGATAAATCCTTTTCTTTTGAAAGTCACTTTTTGCAATTTTTTTTTGCTTGGATGAAATAGTATTAGAAGTTATCTATGGTTATAAAAGGTTAATTCAACAATAAAAATAATATAAATATATGAAAAATTTAGTTCATCGTACTGACTTTAAAGTACTTAATTTGAAAATATCTGGGGAGACAAAAAACATTTAATGTATGTGTTACCGGCAAAGTATGAAACGCCGGCATTGTATAGAATGCCTGACGTTTTTAGGCAAAGTATGAAATGTGAGAAGTATTACATACTTTGCCTAGGCATTGTATAGAATACCTAGGCATTCTATAGAATGACAAATACTATTTAGGCAAAGTATGAAATAAACGTCCTGATGAGGTCATTATGTAAATGATGTGCATGTTACTGTGAATGAGCGAAATCAGTGGTTGTTGACTTTCACCGGTGAATGTTGACAATCATAGTCGCTTCGGTGAATGTCAGAAATATTTATTACATCCGATTTGATATTAATTTATTCGTGGATATAATTACATTTACTCGATATTTTAATACTTACTAACGATAGATTACGATTAGAAGAAACATCAGTGTTAGGATTATCGGGCAAATGTATACCGGGCAGTGACCCTTGACCTTAAAAAAACATCAGTGTTGGGTATACCGGGCAAATGTATACCGGGAAATGGCAATTAACTAGACCTAGTATATATTTCGAACATTTAACAAAGGTCCAATCATACTAGTTCTAGTTAAGTGCCATTGCCCGGTATACATTTGCCCGGTATACCCTACACTGATGTTTCTTCTAATCTATCATCAGTAAGTACTAAAATATCGAATAAATGTAAAACTACCGATTTCGGTAATTCACAATAACATGCATTTCTCAAAAATAAAAATGTTATTCTGAAAAAAATACTGAGAGTGCCATTGAAAAACATTTATTCAAAATGTGGAAAGAAAATTAAAAAGTTATGCAAAACAGAATTTAAACCTATCTTATTAAGGGAAACAAAATTTTCATATAAAAAAATATGAAATTAACCTACTTGTTGCAACATGGCAGGCTTGAATGACATTTTGAATTATATTTCATTAAATTTTTCCATGTAAATTTCATTAAATTCCTTCATTTCCATGTAGCAGAGTAAAAAAGTAATTTTTGTTACTAGTCAAAAGTCACACGTTAAAAGTCACGAGCCTTGCCAAGTGATATTTGAAACGAATAGGAGATGTATTTTATACTTTGCCGGTTTCTCATTTGGCAATCTGTAGAATGCCTAGGAAATGTGTGAAATATAAATCATTTCATACTTTGCCGGCTAATTTTAGGCATTCTATACAATGCCTAGTCATTCTATACAATGCCGGATTTCATACTTTGCCGGTAACATATGCATTAAAACTTTGAAATATTTAAATTGTTAAAGAAATCTCCTACCACATGTATCTTCCGCATGAATTAATCCTTCAGAATCAATAGATTCTGAAGGATTAAAATTTTGAATTGATAGAGAAATTGGACACTCTAATGAAAATTCTGTTTTGCAGAGTCTTTCTGCATTGATGTACTTTTATCATTAAACGATCTTTAAAATAAATAAATAAAAACGATAGGTAAAAGTGACCGGTTGTTTATTTAATTTAAGTCTCTGCTTTTTTTTTGTTGTTGTTGACTCGCCATGTGGCAAGTGGAGAGCGGTTATTTTCATGTATATTATTTACCATCATCCAGGATTGAATTACTTTTAGGCCAGCGGTTCCCAATTTTTATCGACAATGGAACACCAAATGATCTAACTTTTTTCGATGAAACTCCAACTTATATAAAGATAAAAATATATAAAGATAATTGTGAAGATATTCAACAGTAATATATTATTTTATTTTAAGATTATTTAATAAGACGAATGGAACCGTGGTGGTTCAAAGAATAGAGCCCTCGTCTCCCAATGAGGTGACCAGAATTCGAATCCCAGCGATGGCTGGTTGATACGAACTCCAATCCCAGCTCGGACCGACCACAATGCTGACTTAAAATATCCTCGGTGGTAGACTCATAGGTTAGAGTCCCCTTGACGTCAAACTAACCATGAGGTGTTTTCGGGGCTTCTCTCCATGTAACGCAAAAGCGGGTTAGTTCCCTCAAAAAGGCCTCCACGAAACCAATACTTGATCCAGGGGTTCCTTCGTCTTCTAGATTGGGTTCAAAATTACAAGGCAACGGAGTTGAACGTCAGTAGTCTTTAACTCAAAATTGGATCGTCTGTTCAACAACGGAAGAAAAAAAATGAAATAAAAAAAAGGAATTATCTTATTCATCTTTTATCATTAATTATCTTAAATCAAATTTTATGTCCTACAACTAAATTCACAGTCCTGGAGCTTTGTCTAGTCTAGTACTGAATTGGTTGTTGGTGTATATGCATAAAATAAAAACGATTAAAATGACCCGAATTATGATTTTCTTTAATATGAAAACTTAAAAGAGCTGCTATAAAAGTTGGAAAAAGTTATCAAGGAGACATATTTCTTTATTAGCAATTTTAGTTAATCTAAAATGCTCGGTGACAAATACAAATGCAATTCTTTAATGCTTGTCTTTTTTATAATTTATTCAGTGTATTGTTATTATAAAAATTATATGTTTATTTTCTTAAAAAGTGTCTTACTTTTTATTCGGACTTCGGATTAAATTATTTCAAAAATTCAACAGAAATATTAAATAAAACCTGACTTATTGATTAGACATAAATATAATAAAAAATTCAAAAATCATTGCGGGTTAAAAAAGAAAAAAAGTCTTAACTCTTGGAACCCTTTTAACACATCTACGGTGCACTAGGGTTCAATGGAACAACATTTGTGTATACATTGCTTTAGGCTACTTTTCAAGAAGTGCCAGTTAAAAAGCGCTTACTTTCGAGATTAACTAATTGCAAAAAAATTTGGACCTACATAGTTACACATAGTTTTTACATGCAAAAATTTAAAATATACATGTTAAAAACAAATAGAACATGATGTAACCCCATATTGTGGGAAACAAAAAGCTAAAAATAAACGCACTGCTCGAAACATTTACTAGTAAACATAAAAAAGTAAAAAGTAATTCTTTTACATTTTTATTTCTAGTTTAAAAGCAACGATTGAAACAGTTTCGATTGCTTAGAGTTAAAAACAATAAAATCTATGTATTTTTTTCTTCGATGCAGAATAAACTTATGCAAATAAAATAACAAATAAAAATCTATTGTAAACTAATAAAAATAATGCTATAAATTCAGAGTTTTGTTGAATAAGACAATTACTGGATCAGTAAAGAGAAATATTTAAAAATAAAACATAATATACCGTAAAAGCTCGTAACAATAAGTTCAGCACATTACGAGAAATCCCCTATCATGACAAATTTTCAAGCCGCCGACAAAATGTTAATAAAAAGAAAAAGAAAAAAAGATTTGCGTATATAACAAGGTTAAAATTTCTAACCTTCCGCTGTTACCTCAAATCTTTTTAGGGAAATATATTTTTCAGCTGTTTAAGTAAGAAATATTGTACGAAAAAGGTTTGAATGGAAGTGATATTTATTTATTCTTGGTATCAATACAAAAAGATGTAAAAAAAATATCTTTTCCGTCATAAAATTTTTTTCTTATTTTTATGATGCAATGTGGGGAAAACCAGCGGCTAAGTTACCTTCTTCCTCGCAAATTTTTTTTTCTTTTGTTGCTACTTTTAAAACTCTTAACACGCATTTAAAGAGAATGCACCATTTGTTGCACAACTCTTTCTCTCTCGTTTCTAGTCTTCTGAAATTAAACCAATACTCTTCATCTCCCGTCGTCTGAAATTGAACCAATACACTTCATCTCTCGTCATCTGGAATTAAATCGAAAATCTCTGGAATTTTCGCTGATCGTGGGGACTAACTAAACATTGCCAAATTTTACTCCCAAATTGAAGCGCAATCGTCTTTAACACAAGCAAGCCGATGACGTTCTTTCACTGTTTTATTTATAGATCAGCACCACAACTTGTCTAGGGGATTATACAATGATTAAGTATTTTCATGTGGGGCCTGAACTGTCGGCAATCACAAAGCTTTATCACTTCGAAATATACATCTAATGAAATTTATCTTAATAAAGATAAAAGCAATAGAAAAATCGACGTAAGCAGCAAAAAATTCAAAATTGAGATTTTTATATATTTGGCATTTTTGTATGATAAGCAAAAAAAATTGGAAATAATTTTTTTAAATATTTTTTTCTTTTGAAATTCAGTTTTAGTGTTCATAGATAGAATTAGCAATAGAAAGATG